CGATTGACCAGACGTGCTCGACCAATAGATGGGGCCAAGGAAGGGGAAAGCCAATTCGGGTTCGCCACAGGGTCTGCAGCCAGGAAAGCGAACAGATCTGGAAGGTCTTCTGGTGTTCTCAACAGGAAAGTGTGGTCTTGTTTCCGGATGATTAGATGAAATGGGAATCCCCATCATTAACTGCCTCCTGAAGAGCAGATGGTGTCCAAGAGAGGCTTCAACATTCGTCTCATCTGTAATGTGCGGCGAAAGAGGTCCGGGAGGAGATGAATCTGTGCTCCATCAAAATCAACCGGACCCTTGTGCCATGCTCGCTGCATGATCTCCTCTTTCTTGGCATAAAAGTGCATCCTACAAAGCACATCACGGGGTCTGGCTAGGTCAAGCAACCTGGGGCCGAGGGATCTATGGGCCCTGTCTAGTTCAATCAGAGTGTTAGGCGGATTGTCCAAGTATAAATTGAATATATCCCACACCGTGTCTTTGAGGTTAGATGCATTCGTGGACTCCGGGATTCTTTGGATTCGGATGTTGTTCCTCCGCCCCCTGTTGTCTAGATCATCTAGGTGCAGCAGGACCTCTGTGGCTTGGCGTTGCGAGAGGGAATGTGCCACCTCCAGTCTAGTGACCCTTTCCGCCAGGTCTGCATGAGAATGTTCCACTGTGGACAGTTGGGTGGAAAAAGAGGAGATTTCCTGACGGACCTCTGCAATATCTTGTTTGTATGCTGCTTCAATACGGGAGGTGAAGGCCTCAAGGTCAGCCTTAGTGGGCACCAGTGCCACTAAATCTTCCTTCGTTGGCAGGGCTCGAAGCAGGTCCCTAAGGTCTCGATCCAGTAGGTGGAGGGGTGAGGAAGGCTGAGTTGCCCAAACTGTCTTACCCGGCTACAGGGGCATAGGGGGGTCTGATCTCCATGAGCCCAAGGAGTAATTTGCCTCCATTATTGCAGGAGGCACTGTCCATGCTATGTCCCTATTTGTGTGTAGAGAGGGACTGCCAGGACTCTCTCTGGGAGCCCTAGGCTGCAGGGGGGTCTCCATCTGGTTTTCCTGAGCTGTCAGTAGGTGAAGAGGAGAAGGAGAGGTTGTGCCCCTCTGGGAGAGCTGTGTGGTCTGCATTGAAAGGTCCCGGAGCCGGGTGGCCAGCTCATCAGCAGGGCCGTCTGCGCGAGGATCTGATCGGTGCTCCTGCTCTCCTGGGAGAGCTGCCGTTGTGACAGGACCGGAGCCGTGGATTGATGGCTCTGCGGAGGGATCGCTGCCTGTGTCAGAGGTGGAGGGTATGGGGCTGTGAACATCCGATACGCTGGTCGAGAAAAGGGCTCCTGATGGAGGCTGGCAGTCAGCAGCTTTGTAAGTGAGATCGCCAGGGCCCTTACCTCGTGCGCTCGAGGTAGCCTGTTTAGGCGATGTGGGCCGAACGTCCGTGTCCTGTGCTGGAGACACAAATAGCCGTTTGAAAGCGGATTTTGAGGTGTACTGACCCCGCCGCTGCTTGGTCTTCTTGGACATGGTGCTAGGAGGCCAGCTAGATAGAGGTAAGAGTCTGTTTTTGTGAAGTCGAGCCGGGAGCCTAGGATTCTAGCTCCTTTTTCTGCCATCTTCAGGCCCCCCACAAGTAGGTTTTTTAACAATTGATTTTTATATGACTCGGGTATAAAAAGGGGAGGCACCCATAAGATCCCAAGATCTTCACTGGTGGGTTATAGTGATGCCTGTGGGAGTAGGACACTAGTTACACATTAAACAGGAGACTAGGGTCACCCCTTGCTGGTGGCCAAAACACCCCATCTGCCAAAAACAGCTCATTGTTTTGCCTAACATACAGATGGTATGTTTGAATTATAAATAAAACCCTTTTTCTTTCTCATTCATTAAGGGACACAGGATCAGAGACAATCCGTTATAGCCATACCTACAGGAAAATTTGGAGACTGGCAAACAAAACAAATCCAGGGACCAGTCTGTTATAATCACTCCCAACATTCCTCAGTTTTTTGCTTGTGTCCTAGGAAGTTGGATGCCTTTCCTCTGAGAAAAGTTTAACCATTTTTACTAGCCACTTTTGCTTTTTTTAGAATTATTTTTTTCTTCTGTCAAGACTTTATCCAAATGCCGCTTGAGCTAGAATGTTAATGCAGCTTTTCCGGACTCCGCTGGACTGGATAATTACAAAGCCTGCCTGGAATGTGACCTCCGGGAACTGGTATTCACATTTTGGCATTTTCCAGACTTTTGTGTACTGCATTAGTTAGCCACAGAGTGCTTCCCAGTTAAAAAGTCATGGCACAGCCTCTGGTGTAACCGAGTCTTTGAAGACTCATATATGAGTAGACCGTTGGGTGCTATTATTATCCCTATTTTCTTGATTGTACATCACAGGGAGTTAATTATAGATCACTGAGTTATGCAACTACCTTCGGTAGTAAACTCAACAGAAGACAAAACAATATTACAGAAAGATCTGGATAAAATAGTGTACATGGTAGATGAGGTTTAATATTGAGAAGTGTAAGGTTATCAATTTTGGAATTAAAAATACGCAGGCGAGCAACTCATTAATGTGCATCCCACTGGGGGAATAAGAGGTTATAAAAAGATTTGGGAGCCCTAGTGGACAGTTGGCTTAGTAACAGCATGCAATGCCTGGCTGCAGTAAATAAGGCAAGCAGGGTACTATCATGCTTAAAAAAGGGAATGTACTGTAAAAACAAATCCATAATTCTACCTCTGTGCAAAACACTGGTTCGGCCACATCTTGAGTATGCGGTTCGGTTTTGGTCACCGATGTGCAGAAAGCATGTTCTTGAGCTAACAAGTGTTCCGAGAAGGGCAATAAAGCTAATAAAGGGGTTGGAGGATCTAAACTACGAGGAAAGACTGCATGCATTAAACCAGGGCTCGACAAATCCCAGGCACCAGGACTAGAAATTGCATCCTGGCTTGTGTGTCACTTTTCTCTTTCTCCCTACTATTACCTGCATGCAGTGCTGAAGAAAAGCAGGAGGTGAGTAGAAGGTAGCTTGCATTAATATTAATTCCCGCCACCACCGCAATAACCTGCTCTCCTTCTCCCACTGTATGCTGCGAACTGTGTCCCCACCTGACACAGACTGCGGCAGCCGGTTACAGCGTGTGGGGGGGAGACCGCTGAAAACCGTGACCCCCCCAACTTGCCCCCATGCCCCCGCTGTGCCTCTGCTGCCCACTCTTTGGAAAAACTTCACGGCCGCAACAGGTCTCCAATCCAGCGGCTTCCAGAAAAAGCCAGTCTGCTATTGGCCATTTAAAATTGTATTAGCCAGTAGCAGGCTGGCTATTGCACCCGTCCACTGCCTGCTGTCAACAGCAATAGAAGACCTGAAGGAGATTTTTTTCCTTCAGGTCTCTCTCCTGCTGATTGACTGATTGACAGCAGGCAGTGGGCGGGTCCAATAGCCAGCCTTCTATTGTAATCTCAAATAGCTAATAGCAGGCTGGCTATTGCTTCCAGCCTGCTGTGTTTACATTCAGCTGCCTCAGCAGGTAGATGCCATTACCCAGTTAAAGTATTGAAGTAGAAAGGTGACACTAGGGGTCTAATAGAGTAAAAAAAAAATATATAAAATAAAAGTAATAAATTAGTTAGGCTTGCCTGCCTCATGGGACTGACGGCAAGTACAAGTAGTTTATGACGGGACGTCATAAACCAACGCTTTTTTTTTCTCTGCTCACATGCGGCCCCTAGCGTGCGCACAAGCAGAATACAGTTTGTTTTAAACAGCCGGTATCGGCTGTTCCATACAAGCGTTTGGGCAGCTCTACAGCCACCCAAATGCTTGTAAGGTGCCAAAGACTGTGCGCCCCCCCTTCCCTCCCCCCCCCCTTCACCGCCGCTGTCAGTTATTCTAGGCTCCGCTGTCCCCCATGCAATCCTGGGACCGGCACAGCGGCTGCCCATACGGATAACGGAGGAGAGATCAGCATTCTTCCACTTGCTGAGCTCTCCTCCAATCTCTGAAGGCGGAAGTGATGTGTATTATATAACTTCTGCTTTCAGCTGTCATTTCTCAGGCTGCTATAGCCAGAGTAGAAGCTGTTTAGGGTCCTCCTATGCCCCAGCAAGCACAGGACCTCAGACAGCCGCATATGTCAAAATATGTAAAGTGCCAGTATCGGCACTTGGTGTCTTGTGTCCGGTTGTCAGCTGGCCTGAAACCCGGACACAGGGCTCAAAAACCGGGGTGTCTGGGTGAATCCCGGACAGGTGGTAACCCCAGTTAATATCCACTGGCAACCAAAAGGTTGCCATTTACTTTAAAAAAAGTTGTATCCAGCAGTTGCGTGACCGCAAGAGATCCTGTGTGCTCCCTCTTCTTTAGGGTGGGGGCATGGTTCAAAAATGTCTTATGTAGAGGTTGCTGCATTCCATGCAGCAGTGGCTGAGCAGGCCTGGGCCAGAGGTGTATCAGCCAGGTGGGGGAGACATGTCAGCCAGGCCAAAGCATTAGCTTAGCTGGGCTGGGCAGGAGGGTGTCAGCCAGGCCACAGCATTGACTGAGCAGGGCTTGGGGTGGGGGGGCGTATCAGCTGGTGGGGCATGTTAGCCAGGCTGACTATTGAATTACAGGCACAATGTGGAACAGTATGTCATCCTGTAGGTCTGATAAGCAGATAAAGCGCTGCAAACTGACTCATCTGCTTCCATGTGCATGGTCAGAAACCCATAGGGAGGACTGACAGGATGACTAGGTGCTAAGTGCCACTTTTATTTAGTACATAAAAAATATGAACTCATTTGTGGATTATGAAGGGCAGGGAAATATAGTGTCAAAGTTTTACTATTAAGGATTACATACACTTACACAGATAACTGTTCTAGGTTTTTTGAAGTTAGCAAAGGCATTCTCCTGATGAAAAAGGAGGTATGCTGGTAATTATGTGAACAGTATAAAACCAATACCATACTTTTACTGCATTTATACTTTATTTTGAATCAATTATGTCTAACTTTTTTAGGTATATGCAAACGGAATACGTAATATTGATCTTCATTTTATAATAAGCAAACTGGCTGCACCTGTCATCTCTGTTCTGCTGTTGTCACTGTGTATACCGTGCATTATATCTGCGGGAGTTGTTCCGTTACTAGGTATGTGTTTTTACATATAATTTATTGTTGAATGTTTAAATGGAAACAACTGTTGTATTCCCTTTTTAGTGTATGTGATTGCAATCAGTTTAACCACTTGAAGTTATGGCATGTTAAAACCCCTTTCCTGTCTAAGCCATTTTTCATTTTTATAGTGCTGTGATGACTCACAATTATTTGACCAAGCAATACTGTACCAAAATTAATTTTATACAGGTGAAACTCGAATAATTAGAATATCATGCAAAAGTAATTGCAGTAAGTGCTGCAAAAGGGGCCCAAACCAAGTACTGAGTAGATTTGCATGCTTGTACTTTTCAGAGGTCCGATATTGTTCTATGTACAATCCTTGTTTTATTGATTGCATGTAATAATCTACTTTTCTGAGATTGTGGATTTGGGGTTCTTGGGGTTTTCATGAGCTGTAAGCCATAATCATCACAATTATGACAAATCACGGCTCAAATTATCTTGCTTTGCATGTAATGAGTCTATCTCATATATTAGTTTCACCTTTTAAGTTGCATTAGTGAAATAAATGAACTTTGCACGATATTCTAATTATTCGAGTTTCACCTGTATATATTTTTTTAAACATAGCTTTCTTTTGGAGGTATTTGAAAAAACTGTGTTTTTCTTATATGTTTTTAGAATATAAAGGAAAAAAGACAAAAAAAAAATTTGATTGGTCACAGCGATCACGTGGTACAGAGCCACTCTCTTGAACTCTGGACCCTCTTTTTGTTATCTGTACTGTCCAATGGACAGTGCAATCATTGTACTGTGCTTGTGGGTGTCAGAGGGAACATATAAGAACAGAGACAAATTACATTTTAAAATGTCATACCACCCTGGGTGGGCTGCCGTCCCCCTGTTTTTTGTAAAATTGGTGAATGGCAAGTGGTTAATGTAAATAATCATATCAACGTTAGTATTTTAGAAACCTAGGCTCTGTGTACAGTTTATAATTATATATGTGCAGTACATGGAGGCAGCTGTATTAGTTCATTACCTGTCCTAGATCTACTTCCTGCTTAACAGTACGCACAGTTGCTCCTCTCTCTCAATGAGATTCTATAGGTCAGGTCTGATCTAATTGAAAATGATGGAATATATGGCTATCTGAGCTTCTCTAAGCCATTAAGTCATTAAGCAAGAAATGGTAATTACAGTCTCTAGGATTTACAGGTCATGAAATACAATATTTAAAGTATAGGTCAGAAAGTATATAAAATGTTTAATCATGAATCTATTTCAAAGAAATATACATTGGCCATCAAAGCATCTCTCTACATTTTTGCAGAAACAAGGACTTAGTCGTCATGTTTCTGAACAGCTGGCTCCAACTCTCATCTCGTCGGACTGATTGCTCGGAGGATGAGGATTGGAGTGACTGCTCTGAGGATGAGGCTGTTTTGGATTTTTGCAATCTTTTTTTCCATTTTACATATTTTGTTATATTCTTTGTAGCTTTCAAATGACGACAGTGTTCCTTTCTTTTATATTTTTTTAAACGCCCTTTTCTTATTCTTTATGCCTTTTTTAAGATTGGATGTGAGCCACATGGGTTTTACTTTTAGCCTTTTAAACGTATTGCTTACGGGAATATACAGTATGTTGCAGTCAGTGGTGTATTCTGGTTTGGGGCTGCCCTAGGCAAGACAAAACTCAGCGCCCCCCCCCCCACACACTAAATGTACCCCACCCGACTGTGGTCTCAGGTGGGCTCTGCAGGGTGTGTGGTGAGCTTTGCAGGCAGCGGAACCCCCTATGGATTCTGCAGAGCCCACCACAGATCCTGCAAAGCCCCCTGAGACCCGGCAAAGCCCCCCACAGATCCTGCAGGATCTCAGGTGGACTCTGCAGGGTTTGTGGTGGGCTTCGCAGGCAGCGGAGCCCCCTATGGGTTCTGCAAAGCCCACCACAGATCCTGCAATGCCCCCTGAGACCCGACAAAGCCCCCTACGGATCCTGCAGAGCCAACCAAAAGGTATTGCACAGCACACCTGAGACTCTTTGGTGGGCTGTGCAGAATCTATGCTGAGCTCTGCCAGCACAGTCCTCTTACCTTGCACGGCCTGACCTCTTTGGAACACAGCCTCCTCATCCTCGGCGCCCGACACGTCCTCATTGTCATCTTCTCCGCCCGACTGGAGCTCCGGCGACGCCTCCCACCTCCTCCGTCGGTGTCTCTCCCATCTTCGCATGCCGCCTCTTCCGTCTCTGGGGCCACTCGACAAATTTTCTTCTCTCATGGGGACCGCTTGCCAAATTTCATACTTTAAAGTAAAATTTAACTGTATCCGGTTTGTTACTACAGACACCAATATACACACAATAAGGCCCTATTCATATCTGTAGGTTTAGGTGTGATTAGGGATTCCTGCATCAGAAACTTGCGTTTTACTGCAGCAGAAATCCCTAATCTGGTGTTTACAAGTGGCAGCTGTCACCTATTCAAGTTAATGATCAGGTGACAGTAGCTCCATGTAAACGCCTGCTCACCGCATGTAATGATACGTGATATGATTACATGCGGTTAGAAAACACTCTCCCTGGATGCACAATCATTGCGTCCAGGGAGAGTGATTGATTCGTAACTGAATGTAAACATATCACGTATCATTGCATGCGGTGTGCAGGCGATTACATGCAATTGCTGTCACCTGATCAGTAACTTAGGTGACAGCTACCATTTGTAAACGCCAATTTAGGGATTTCTGCTGCAGGAAAACGCAAGTTCCTGACGCAGAAATCCCTAATTGCACCTAAAATAAAGGTGTGAATGTAGCCTAATACACTTCAGTTACCTTGTTCCATGGAGGAGGCTGTGAGGCGGCACGTCGGTCCCTGGGGATTCAGTGGTCGATTGGTAAGGTCTGCTGCAGACCTTACCAATCAATCCTGCACAATCCTTTCGGCCAGCGTTCACTGAAAGAACGCTAGCCGAAAAGGATCCGAGTGCCGGCGCAGACTCAGCTACACGGTCTGCATCCGACAGAGATGCAGATTGTGTAGCTGCTCCTGCAAGTCAGGTATGCGGTCCGTGACCACGTACCTGACTTCTGAGCTGGCTACGGGTCACAAAGTACCAGCTCGCGGGCCGGTACATTGAGACCCCGGAATTTTTGCCGCTCCCTTGGAATCTGCCGCCCGAGGCAAACACCTTGTTTGCCTCGCGGCAGATACGCCCCTGTTCGTGTGGACTTTTTGTTGGTTCACCACAGCTCCCTCGTCTCTGTCACGAGCTCTGCTATCGGTAATATTTCTCTCTCTGATCATGCCCCCATTGAGATAATTCTAGATTTAGGTCACACTGCGCCTCGTTCTTGGCATTGGTGTTTGAACGAATATCTCATCTCGGACCCCACACTTGTTTATAAAGTAACTCGGGACCTATGGTCTAATTATTATGCCTTGAATTCTTTGGACTGCTCACCCTACATTGTCTGGGAAGCTCACAAAGCCTATATTAGGGGTACGCTTATTAGATTGGGCTCCAGACTTAAGCGACAGCAGACTCAACAAATTTCCTCCCTTCTGTCCCAGATCCATTAGTTGGAACTCGTGCATAAACACCGCACGGACCCTGTAGTCTCTTATGACCTCTGTCAGTTATGAGACTCGCTTTGGTCTCTGTGCCTTGCAAAAGCACGAGCAACACTGTCTAAATGCCGCTGTCACTTCTATGAATATGGCAATCAGCCGATCGATGGCCAGGGCTCTCTGTCACCAACGCTCTAAAACGCTTGTGTCCTCGATAAAATCTCTCAAAGGCTACGTTCTCCACTTATCTGAAGACATTACTTTTGGGACTACTATTCTTCTTTATATAATCTTCCCCGCCTTTCCTCTGTTTACATCTGAGAAACAGCAGTCTACCGCTCTCATTAACAAACTTATGTCGAGTACGGAGGGTGAGCGGCTTTCATTTTTGCAGCCAGGAATTTCTGGCAGGAGCAACTGGGAGAGGCACAGGGTTCTCCCTCTCCACCACTACTCAGTAAAAAAGGAAACCTCCCCAAAGAACAAAACTCTTACAGCTGTTTTAAGTTTTCCATTATGGGCTCCCACATCATTTCCAATCCTATGGTAGAGAAAACTATTGTGTCCAATTGTAAAATCACTTCCTCAAACCTCATCTTTTTTGACTTATGGGAATCATTCTGATTAAAAATCTGCAGGCATTGCTGGCACCGCAAAACACTGCTTTTTCTTGTGCAATATCATAACCATCTTTACTATATAAAACATATGGCACCTGCTGTCTCAGTAAAGAGAAACAAAGAGGTGAGAATGGCCCGATACGGCCTTGCACGCCACACGGATGTATATGGCCCGAATAAACGCTGTGTGAATGTGGGAAAGGAGAAGGCCTACTAAAAGGAGTGCACTCACTGAGCCAGGAATGACTGATACTGTTCATCAGATAGATGCGTGTGTGTTTACATGTCGACAAAACTCCTTTACTGATCACGCTTGTGTATGAATGAATTATGTAACCTGATTGGTTGCTCTCGGCAACAGATCCTGTGCTCCATCCTCTTTGCTCCAATTAAATGCAGCAACTAACGTACACACACACTTATTGGGATTGGATACTTCGCTCCTCTGGGATAACTGCATCCTTGCCAGGTCCTGGCATACTGGGAGTTGTAGTTCTCCAGCAATTCAGCTACACATAAGATGGTCATGTGGAAGATGAGGATGCAGGACAGAGTGATCCCAGAGATTGCCCTGTACTTTAGTGGAAGCAGGCAGTGTAGCTGCCCTCATACACCACTGTCAGTGTGTAGAGCCCAAAAGCCGTCCTATGAAATACCCCTGGGCCCTGGAGAGAAGGGCCCTGTTCGGACTCTCCCTCTTTCTGAATGGAGCGTGTCAGGCCTGATGGCAGCAGTGAAATGAGGAGGGGGTCTGTACTGCACGACGGGTATTTATCTACTCCAGCGCTGCTACTTTCACAACACACGCAGGCTAGCTGATCAGTACAGCAACGG